CTGAGATGTTTACAATGCCACTAGACCCAAGGACTTTCTACCCACTGGCTTGTGATGGCCCTGCATTTGGCTCCATTGCATGTGTTTCCTGAGTCTGAAGAGGACTTTATGGAATGGTATCGGACATGTGGGCTAATGTCAGACTTATGGCCTTGGACTGGACTGGGTTGGGATGTTTTCTCAATGTTCAATTGCTCTTGTATATAAATCTCTTTCTTACACACATATGCGTGTCCATGGATTTGTTCCTCTAGTCTACCCAGACTCACACAGGGTCTTTCAAAACTCCTAAGTAGCCATGAAAGGCACAACCATTGGTCTCTATTCATCCAGAGTAACAGAAGAAGAAGAGTCAAGAAAATGAAATGTGCAGATAATTGCCTCCATGAACATCTGCCGCCTATGCCCTGGATGGCAAAATGGGGTGGTGCCTGGCTCCCATTACTAAACATTTTGATTAGAGACTCCATAGAAGAATCCTGATCAAAATGGGAGAGATACAGGGAATTTCTCAGTGACTCTAAACTTTCTGGGGTCATGGAGAGTGAATGAAGCCCTAAATTATTGCTCTGAGATCATCTTTAAGCCTTTAACAAAAACATCCCCTGAAGTTATCTTAAAACTGAGTAACAGTTCTGTTTACTGAGTAAAAACGGTCAGCCTTGAGCATTATGCTCTTTAAGAACTATCCATATGGAATCACACTCACAACACCAACCAATTAGACAGGAACCTTCAAGGAAATGCGTTTATAAGAATCAGAGAGGAACAGCTCAGAAAAGGAGGGGGAGAACGGTGCTGCAACTGGATGAATGTAACCAGTGTCCCTGAAGAGTTCATGCAGAAGAAGCTGAATGGGCAAATGTTTTGCTGGATATTCCCACATAAATAACAAACTAAGTAAAATACGTAGTGAAATTTCACTTCACAGAATTTATCTGACATATGCATTTATTTATTCACTTATTTATATTGTTTCCATTAATCCAGTTTCCTGCCTCCTTATACTCTCATGTTTGCTTTAAAGTAATTGTTGTCTGTTTGGTCCCTTATAAGTGATTTCTAAAGTAGCACTATACTTATGCCTTTTTCTTTCTTTCTTTTTTTTTTTAGCTAATCTGTTATTTGGCCACAAGGTGACCTCAGGCGTTAGTTTCCATCGTGGGTATAAATGGTATCTCAGGGTTTGGGGAGTCCCCCAGTCTTAATTGTCCAAGTAAGACTGTTCTTTTATTTATGTTTTAGTAAGGTGAGGTTCAGTAGTTCTGTTCTTTTGCTTATTTTGTTTTCAGTAATTTGGGAGTCCACATGTTTCTCCCTTTCTCTGATATATGATTTTAAATATAAGCAGGCGTGTACAGGATGCTTGATGCAGCGTGTGTGTGTGTGTGTGTGTGTGTGTGTGTGTGTGTGTGTGTGTGAGAAAATAAGGCTAGAAATAATAGGCTTTAAATATTTTTGTTAAATCCATAAAATGAATGGCATGCAGGTAATAAAAAGAAGAGGAGACATGCTCATGACTGGCAAACAGTAGACTGAATGCCTAAAGAAACCCTCTCAGTACAAAGCTAGTTTACATATTTAAAAGCTACTTGATATTTTTTTTATATTTAATGTCTGGCTGCATTGATGGAGAAATGAGAAACATTTTAAGAACTAAAAACAATGCTAAAAGCATGAAAGAATAGAGAATATGGAATATTATTGAGCCCTGTAAACATCTTCTCTTTCTTGTTTGGCTAAAGTACGCATTTGAGGTACCACACAGACAGAGGGGACAGGACCCATGGTCTGAGTTAGATGGAAGGCTCAGTCTAAGATTATACCCTGTGATAGTTAGGTTTTAGGTCAACTTGACTGTACCAGGATTCTCAGTAGTTTGGAAGTTGTGGCCTCCCCCCTGATATGAATCTGCTGTGAGCAACCAAGCAGTTGAGGGAAGACAACTAAAAGGAAGTTTCCTCAGAGGGGTGGGCTACTGTATTAAAGCAGACTATGTGGGAAAAGGTTTGGCTCTTCTTGCTGGTCTAGATCCTGCATCTGGCTCACTGACAGGCTATAGAGCTGGCTAACCCTGAGAGCTATCAATGGCCTGCCATATAGCCTGCTGATCCATTCAGCTCTGAAGCCACCTGACCTGCTGACCTTGGGGCATCCACCTCAGCCTCTACCAGCTTGTGAACTTCCAGCTTCCTGGTTCATCTACTGTAAAAGCTGTGCAAGTCATATAAAGCCTCCACCTTAACATCTAACCCGTGGACTTATACGAGATTGGACTTGACCACTTCTAAAACTGTGTGAGGCACTTTTTTAGTACATAAAATTCTTTATTTTTGTATGCATTAATGAATGAATGAATGAATCAATCAGTCAATCAATCACCCTGGTTTTGCTTCTCTAGAGAACCTAGTCTAATATAATTCCTAAGGATAAAACCCTGAATGGGTTATCTAGCAAAATAAACACCTGTGCCCTGGAAGAACTAGTAAAACGAGAATTAAAGACAGTCAATGGAGACGCTCTACTCACTTGCCCGTCCTCGTGAAAGACTTAGGGACCAGTGTTTACACACTTGTGTAGCAAAAACAAAACAAAAACAAACAAGAACTTTAAAGATATCAAAGATTGTCTATGCCCTAAAGTATCTGGCTAAGTAAAATAAACATTTTCTGTAGGAATCCACTGTAATTCAGGACCCTAACAAATCCTGAATATTATTTTAAGGAATATGTATTCTTATCAATATCACCAAACACAGGAAGAAATAGGCTACAGTGAGTGAATAGAAACACAAACCACAGAATCTACCAAGATGCAGACATTAGAACTATCAGATAAAGAATATGAAGGAGGTACGTTTTATATATTTAAAGAAAAATACTTTTAATACAATAAGGCTACAAAATACTATCATAAATAGGTTCGTCTACTTGTAAAATCAAGAAGAACAACAGAAATAAATACTTAAAATTACTGAAATGAGAATGTCAACAAATGAGGTTAATAGAGGATTATACATAAATAAGGGCAGTTTAGTAAATGAAAGGTAGCTCGAATATTATTTCTCAAAATTACAACACAGGAACAAAAAAGATGGGAAATATGAAAGAGAAGTTAAGATATGGAAAAGATAAGACATGTTAAAATGTCTTATAGGCAACTAAAAGGGCTATAGATAGCATCATGAGACAAACATTTAATGATAAAATTACTAAAACTTATTGAAAAGTAAAAAATGGATTTTCATGCATACAACTCTATTGACATTTGAAAACCAAAGAACCACTATCAGGACCAACTTTAACGAATTCTCACTGTCAGCATGGGTGATGTCAGCAAGAAGAATAGAGATACAAATGGTAAATATTCTAAGGATAAAGAAGAGCAGATGAACATCTTCTAAATACCATGCAGTGATGTAAGGTAAGTTTTAAAATATATAATTAAGGAACAAAAGGCCCAAACAATTTTTTGTTGTTGTTTTCTCTTCATGAAGGAGGGAAACGAAAATAGAATGGGGCAGATTGCATTCTTAGCTCTCTCTCAGGTTTTACCAAGTGCCCTGCTGGCACAGCGACTAGGTTTGGAGTTTGAAATACGGCTAATGCAAAGGAAGAACTGAATGTTTAAGTTTCATTGAAGGTTAAATGTAAATAATCACAAGTAGGTAGTGCTACTGCTACATTAGATACTGCAGTTCTACAAAGTCACACATGTGCACAAGACGACATACAATGTATATAGAATGTTCATTTTAACCTTGTCAATAAAGCACTGAAGTCTGGTAATAGGATAATAGGTTAACAAGATTATATAACAAAACATCAGCAGTGAAAAGGAATGAATGAGAGCATGTGTCATCAATAATATAATGTTAACAAAAATAGGTAGGTTGATGGTAATATGTGTAAATAGTTGCAATCCTGTAAACATCAGAACCTGATGTTTTTGGGTGCCACTCAGTCAAGGATTACTTTTAGCAAGCCTACAGGACAGAGTACAATGGCCTCATGGGATTCCCTAAACCGTAATCTTTGGGGCAGTAGATTGCCAGCTCTTTTCTCCTAGAGAGAGGTTGATGATGTCAAGCTGCCAACCATTCAGGTAGCAGTTAGCAGCTGAGCATTCTGTCAGCAGGACTCCTTTTAAAACATGATGAGAAATAGCTAATCATTTCCCTTCCACATAATTGGATAGAATTTAAAAGTCTGACAATACTAAGTATTGGCAAAGATACAGATCAACAGGAATACTTGTTCACCACTATGATACAACCACTCAAGGGTATAAACCACTTTAAAATGCATATATTTTCCAACCAAGTAATTTAATTCCTATATACTATAGATCAGTATTCGCCTGACTTTCTGCGACAATAACAATGCAGAAACTCACATAGGTGCATAAGGCAACATATATAGAATGTTTATCTTAACCTAGTTAATGAAAGTTGCAGTCTATAATAGTACAATAGATTTATAAGATTATATTCTATTTATATAACAAAAACATCAGCAGTGAAAATTAATAAACTAGAGTGCACGTCAATAGTATAATGTTAATGAAAAAGGCAAGTTGCGGATATATGCGTAAAATATCAAATGCAACATTATAAAAAGTTTAAAAACAGGTAACAATATATATTGCTATAAATTTGGAGTAAAAGCGGATTGCTACCCCAATTCTCTCAAATACTTCAACAGGAAGAGTCTAAAACTGGGGATTATCTGATCCTACTGCTAAAACAATTAGGCCTATTCAGGAGTTCAAAACAGAAAGGTAGCAGGCAATATCTATGTCTATACACAGATAAGGATGTATAATTTTTCATGTAATTTCCCACTCTTGGTTCCCACTAAGCCAGGCATTCTTAGTGTCTGAATGTCTTCTTTCCTGCTCACTGAGTCATGGGCCTGGCTGGTAATCCCTTAACCCAGGAACTCCCTAGAATCAGAATGCTCCTAAAGTCTTTAGTATCTATATTATGCATATGCCTATTGAGATAGTTAATTGTGCCAGCCTGGACGATAAACACAAGTGGGATTAACTGAAGGGCGGAGAGATAAATGGCTCAGTGAGTCTCGCCTTTCTTGTTTGTTGCTCTTTGATCATCGAACCAGTGTGCGGCTGCCTTGCTTGTTCTGTGCCTCAATTTATAGGCTACACTACCTGTGTGACGCCTACCCTGTGGACTGTGTCGCTGTAAATTGAGGTCCCTTTAAGACATCTCTGGAGCTGGGGACTGGCAGTTGGGACTGGGGTTGGTTGACAGTTGGTGATCTGTCTTGCGGTTGGCTGCTGTGCTGAGATAGGCTAGCTCTCTCTATAAATAGAGAAAGATCTGGCAGCACACTAGACTTGAAGGACTGCTAGTGTCTCACAACTCTCTCACGGGAGTGAGTTGCACTGAGCCATTTGTATTACTTTATAGTTTAACTGTTCATTTCTTGTATTATATATTTATCTGTGTATGATTTAACAGTTCATTTCTTGTTATATATCTCATTAACTTTATAAATAAATATATAAAATTATCAACAATTTGGTTGTATCTCTCTAGAGAACCCTGTCTAACACATCTATGTAGCAATTAACATTTTATATCAAACATGCAATAGTTTATTCAAGAAAAAGAACTTTTTTCATTTTAAACTTACAGCTTCTCTGGGAGGAATCGCTGAAGAGACATAGCGAGGTGAACTCACTGGTTGTCTAGAAGCATTTGTTTGATTTTTGTCATCTGATCTAAAAGATAAAATTACAGCTCAGCTAAGTTAAGTTTAAAACATTTCTACTTTATTTATTACATATAATTTGAATTTTCCCAAATATAATTAACAGTGTTGGTTGTGGTGGTAGTAACAATCACATTGATATTGCATGGCACTTGTAATAGCTTTCACTCATTTTAAATCCTTACAGTATCAGAAAGTATAATGAACTCTATTTAAAAACTGAAATTCTAATAAATGATGAAATTTAATTACACAATAGTATTCTCAAATTTAGTTAATTACACAATAGTATTCTCAAATGTTCCTCCTTAAATCTTCCTAAAATTAGAGAACATAAAAGCATAATCTTCGGCTGCCTGCACAATACATAAAGCGGTCACTGTGGAAATCGGGAAGTCCAGAAGAGCAAACAGGTTAGCTGAAAAGCTTGGTAGAGATGTCTGACACGGCAATAGTTAGGAAACTAAACTGTACGAGACGTCGGCTGCAGGATGAAGTGCATGAAATGGTGAGTCTGACGGGTGATGGGAAGTGAGAGAAAAATGATAAGAAGAGACATCTGTTGGAGGATATGTTAAAAATTAAAAATAACATTGTAAAACGTTGAAAAAATATGGTGAGAAATAGAACAAAGGTGAGCAAGCAAGACACACATGGACATTATTTTAACAACATTAACTAGTTATGAGGTAGATGCAATGTGCCGGGAATGCGCTATGGGCTTAAATGTTAGTATTTATTTTATCCTCACATCAACTCTTTGAGACTGGAACTATGAATAGTCTCATTTTAGAGGCAGAAAACCATCGCTAAAAGAGGTTTATTTATTTCTCTAGATATATTTCTAGGTAATGACTAACCTGGAACTTGAATGCAGATCTGAGTACATAGTCCATACTACATGCTAAGACTAATGACTAGAATTGGTAAATTAAATTAATGACATGAGAATCCAACACACAAATGGTCTCTGAACTATGGCAGATCTAAATTTCTTTCATCAAAACCTACTCCTTTAAACCTTATAAGTCACAAAATAGGTTTCTACTACAGATATTTAAAAACTCTCCCTCTGTGAGAAATGGTACTGGAGATAAAAGATTTAGAAGAAACATTTTTTACATCTATACTTCTTATGATAAAATAGAACTCTCCCACAGGGTTTTCCAAGATATAATCTTTACAGGAATGGATCATGCAGTCTTTTCCCCATGAAGCCACTGGGTGTGTTCAAACCACCAACCTTTAAGTTAGTAACCAACCCAGTACTTTACCACTGTGCTACCGGGATCCATACATAATCTCTGAGTAGGAAACTCCAAACAGAAGTCACAAACTAAAATGATTCCCCTAACGCTCATTTTCTATAATCCTTTCCCCTCAGCATTATAACAAGTGGCTTACTCACTGCCATTGTGTCAATACTGACTCACGCAGTTACCCTATAAGGGTAGAAATGTCCCTGCGAGTTTCCGAGACGGTACCTGTTTACCAGCGTAGAAAGGCCCATCTGTCTCCCAAGGTGCAGAAAGGCTGGTAGTTTCAAAGTGCCCACTAGGGCTTAGTCACCACAAACTTTGTTATTGCTGTGTCTTTTGTTGGCAAGTCCATGCTAACTCGTGGTGGGCCCACGTGTCATAGGATAGAACTCCATAGGCTATAATCTTTACAGAAGCAGATCGCTAACTGCAAGCTCTCTGCACCCCTGGAGATCTTCACCCCTGGAGATCTTTAAGAAAAGGAGTCCTGGGCCCACAGTGCTTAGGTGTTCAGCTGCTAACGACAAGCTTTGAAAACCCTTTGGGACAGTTCTACTCCGTCCTGGAGGGTCCTTGGCAGTTAGAATGGATGAGCATCAACATGTTTTATAACGGGACAAACCTTCACTACATTTTAGCCCCTACCAATCACATCAAAAGATTAGCGCTAGAACTTAGACTCGTATTGTGGTAGTTACGTAATTTCACATCAACTTGAAGATATATAAAAGTGTAAACATGGAGTTTAGCTGCCTCTCAATCATGTCACAGCCTGGTGACCTCACTTTTTTTCACCACCACCATTGGATCCACACAACTTTGCACCTACCGGCCCATATTCCTGAATCCTGCATCTGCATGTGACTGTGTGAGGCTGAAGAGGGATATATGGACTAGTGTCAGGCTAATGGATTTGAGGTGGGCTGGGCTGGGATGTTTTCTCAATATATACTTACTTCTTGTTATAAAGCTCTTTCTTACACATATATGTCCAGTGTCACTGGATTTGTTTCTCTAGTCAACCCGGCCTCACACACTTATTTTTAAAGGACTGTCAACCTCTATGATATTACTTTAAATTATATAAATATGAATTTGAAAGAAAAATATATAAGTACTCATATGTTTGTGATCTCTTCCTTCTGAAGCAACGTCTCCGTAACTGATCCCTCTTGAAGAAGATAAGAGCAGCAAGTACAATAAGGGGAACAATGAGGAGGAAAAATACCAGAAGTCCATCCCTCAAGGAAGTATTCTTTTCTAGAGAGAAAAAAAATATTAAAAGTCATGAGATGCTAGGCTAACTCATACCACCTAGAACATAGTCAACCATTATAAAGTTTTTACATTAATTTTTAAAAATAGGTAAAACATCACTTGACTCAAAAACCAAGCGATGTAAGTTGAATGACTGCATCCCAGCTTCTTAGGCGACCGCTCTTCCTTGAATTCAACTGGCCCAGCAGATCCCCTCAGAAGCCACTTTTTTGGCCAAACTTTGATTACCAATATGGTCATGGTCATATTGGTAATCAAAGCCCTGTCCCTAGTTATAATTACTGTCATAACATCATCTTGATTATAACTTTGATCTTGCTTAGTGATGGAGTCACCAGTTCTTTGGCTTGGCTGGTCTCTGTGCAATCTTTTTGGTACTCATTGAGCTGCTTTTTACTTAAAATGGAAAATGCTGGACCACGTGAGCTCTCAACTTCAGTAGATCTACAGCCACCAGTTTCTGAACTTCTGCCATAATTTCTTCACTCATCAGGGATGATGGTTTCCCTCATTTGCTCAAGTTTGCGGCTTTCCCCACCTCCCATAGCATGCTCGACCCATCCAAAACTGCTGTTTCATGTAAGGCACCATTCTTGGGAGCTTCTTGAAAAGCGCTGGCAGGTTGGGAAGATGTCCACTTGGGTCTTGTTGAAATTTGATTATTAGCTCTGACCTCACAATCTTTTTTTCCACCATGAAGCAAAAAGGATTGTCCTTTATTTCCCTAAAGACCCAAAGCAGACCAAGGCATGTGTTTTACTGAAAGAAGTTGTCTGCAACCATCCACTGATTGCAGAGGTATGTTTAAACACATTCTGTTTGTAATAAATCCATGCACATGTGAAACGGAACCCAAGAAGCAATATTTTTTTACTTAGCACATATCTAATAAAGAATTTGTATCCAGCATATACAAATAACTCACAATACTCCACATATGGAAGAAGATATCCAATTATATATGAGCAAAAAATGAAACAAATACTTCACCAAACACAATATATTGGTGGCAAATAAAGATATTAAAAATGCTCAATATCATTAATCATTAGAGAAATGCACATTAAAACTACAATGAAATACTACTACACACTTGCCTTTTTTTTTTGTAGTTTCTTAAAAAGTTAAACATGTTCTTACTATATGGCCCACTCTATCTAGTGTTACTGATGAGAAAGAAGGCATATGTTCTTACTATAAATATAATGGTAAACAAAAAGCTCTACTGGGGAATAAAAGTAAAGCTATTAGGGAATAAAAATAAGTTCATTACTATAGTATATGATAGTGCTAACAGAACTAGGAGAATAGGAGGTGCACACTCATTCATGTTTATATCGTCAGAAGAAGGGGCATGTAAACTAAAACCTAAGTACCAATTATCCAAGGGTCAGCCTTGTGCAAATAAGATGGCTCAAAGGTCCAGAGGTAAAAAGGGGAACTTAAGCAAGTTACAGTATGTCTTAAAGTAGAGCTCAATGAGGCTGGAAAGGTAAGCAAAGGAAAAACCATGCTCCACCTTTTAAGTCACCTTAAGGATCCCTGAATTTCATTCTACCAGCAATGAAGAATTATGAAATTAAAAGAGGAGACTGATAATACCAGAACTGAATTCATGAAGGAAAGCACGAAACTCGGTTTTATGGGTGAAATGTGGATTACAAGAAACAAGATGGGAAAACCTTACTGAGAGATGATTTAGAAAAGTTCAGGCAAGAAATTAAACATAATAAATGGGGATGAAAACATTGGTGAGGAATTTAGGAGACAGAATCAACAAAATTTACTATTTAACTGTTACAGAAAAATGAGAGAGAGGGATGGGGATGCCCAGTCTGTGCCTCTGGCCAGTAAGAGCGCACTGGCCTTGTCTTCTGTATTACTTGCCATCGTACGTGGGTCCACTGTCCACACTTCCTCCATGTCCTGTGTTCTCACAGCTTGGGGGAGCCCAGCCATTTTCACAGTGACAGTTCTTATTGCTATTACAGACCTTCAAAACAGTAAAAAGGTCACTGTCATTCATCATGAATGCTGTTCTGTGTCATCAGTTCAAAATGTAAACCAAGAGGAAGTATTTGCTCACAGATTCAGATACTCTTTTTAAGAACAAAAACTTTGTTGGAAATCCTACTTCATCAACAACTAGAAATTGAAAAATCATAAACAGAATCACCTAATCCTCAGTGGGAATTTGGATTATTCAGTACTATTTTCACATACAACCAAAGGAGACTATTACCTACCCCATGTCCATGACACTTTTTTTGAATATCACAGTCATAATTCAGAACAGATGCATTTACACATTGGAAATTTCTACAAATCTGGAAAAAAGAAAAAGTGAACTAATGAGCAAGGGAAAATTAAACACATTAATAAAAAAGTATCCAGAAAAAAAAGTCTTGGCACAGATTATTTTAATGCTGAATTCTTTCAAGATTTCCAGGAAAGACTTAATTCCCTACTACATTTTGAAAATATAGAAATGGAAATGAGCTGGCATAGAACTAATGATTTAAAAAGGCAAAGTACAAAATCAGATAAAAATACAACCTATTATTTCTTAAGAATAGAGATGTGAAGAAAACCAAATGCCAAACTCACTGTCCTGGAATCTACTCTGACACCGAGCAGCCCCATAGGGCAGGGTAGACCAGCCCCTGTAAGTTTCGGAGACGATAATAGGAGAAGAAAGCACCCTCTTTCTCCCATGGGGCAGCTGGTAGTTTTGAACTGCTGACCTTGCAGTTAGCAGCCCCACTAATAACCACTATACCACCAGGGCTTCTAAACGTATGTGAAGATCCTCAGTAAAATAATCATGAAGCAAATAATTTTATAATCAAAAGGAACTAGATAAACTTGATCTCAGGGCTATAAAGATGACTCAATAATAAGAAATATACTGTTCTAATATCTCACAAAATGGACTAAATATAAAAAGCTTGTTATTATAATACATATCAAAGGGCATTTAGAAAAACTAGAAACTTATTTTAATATTACAACTCTTTCAAAAATAATAAAAAGAAACTTTGTTAACAAGATGAAACCCATCTTCCAGTAGCTTGACTAATGATAAAATAACAGACCCATTTCTATTAAAGTCATTATTAAAAATCAAACAGTATTATTTTACATGATTCTAGAAAAGAATTCATGACATGGGATATGAAACATAGATGTGCTATATTTTGCAAGAAAAATCAAAGCTATAATTATTGAGAATATTAAAAATCCTAAAAAAATCAAACAAAACTTAGAATTCTTCAGTTTTCTGGAAAATTGTCATTTTTTTTAAAAATTGCTTTTTTGTGATAAGTTAGAAAAACACACTGACCTTATTAAAGAAATTATTGGATGCTATTTTCACATTTTACTAGGTAATCAAACACACAAAATTAGAATATATAAATGTTGTAGTACAGTAACAATTAGAATACAACCTAAAATAAGCTATTAATAGATGGCTTTCTCATTCTACAAATACACAGGTTGAACCAAAAATGAACTTAGTTATATGACCCCGAAATTCTATTCATTCTGATAATTCAATTTTCAAATAAGAAATGTGTTCATATGACTAAAAATTCAATAAGGATTTAAGGTTACATAAGTAAGAATGTACTCTTCATCCGTGTTCCAACCTGAATATAGAATATTTTTCTGAATATACACTCTAAAATATTGTTTCATTTAATAAGTCATATACAGTAGATAACTGAAACAGTAATGCAGTGTATTGAAATTTGGCACATTTGCCTTCAGAACCAGAATAATTCCAAGTCTTCAGTGAAAAAGGGTATTCTGACTGGCAGTTTTTAACTTGTGGGATTAGTAGAACAAAACTGGCAGGAATATGCTGATAAACTTCCTGAAGTGGGAGAGTAATACCATCCTCTCTAACACAACACCCAATGCTGCCACCAGCAACAGCTATCCATCAAGGAAGGCAGGTGGAAGTTCACTCCAAGACTTCTGGTTTGCTGACTTCAGGATACAAGCCTAAAGTCAAAGCTAATCTATCTGGGGCAATGAAAAACAACAACACAACTCAATAGTTTTATTTTCATCATCTAGTATTAATAAAAATCCAAGGTCTACTGTAGTACCAAATTGTTAACCTGTTCAAATTGTCCACCAAGTATTAGATGGAAGGATTATTAGAAAGGAGAGGTTCTACCCTGACCTTTAAGAACGCAGGTAATAGACTCATAGACCATACCAACAGTTACAAAGCTATGGGTACAACACATGTCAGGGTTAGTTTCATCAATCATCAGTTTGGTTCAAAGTGTGCCTACCATATAGGAGCACACTACTCTTCTTATACATGCATGTGGTTAGCATAGTGTGGTAGTTACATAATCTGTCAACTTGCAAAGGGGTGGAGTCTAGCCTGTCAATCAGGTTACAGCTTGATGTCCTCGTTGGAGATGCCACAGAGATAAATAACTCACTGGATGCCAGATACACTCGCACTCTTTGCTTCATCTTCTTGCTGACAAGCCACATGGAGCTATGCTAGAGCCCTGGAGATAAAGGAGCCACGTGGAGACCCCTGGCAGCGCTGA